AAATCATATATTTAATGAGGGTCTAGTATGCAGAATGTATATAGGATGTTCACTACTTCCAAAATGACAAACAATCCAGTATAAAAATGGACTAGTGATGCTGAGCATCTGTTCACATGTTTATTGGCCATTTCAGTATCTTCTTTGTAGAAATCATCTATTCCAATCCTCTGCACCCTTAAAATTGGATTACTTGACTTTTTATTGAGTTATAAGAATTCTGTATATATTCTGGATACTAGACTATTATCAGGTACATGATTTGCAAATATATATCTTTTTACATTATATATGAGAAAAGAAAGCTGGCAAGAACGTGCCAAACACACACTTCCCTCCAAGCTAAAATGTCCATTTCAAAGAGCAACCTTGCCCCAGCCTACCCTGACCCCTGAAGGTTTCAAAACCGTTTGATGAACTAGAAAAGCTCTCGGCATGGAAAAAGACTTCTCTAAAGGTTTTCTCCATATTGTACAAACCTTTTACAATACTGCTAAACAGTAAGGTTTTTAGAGGGAAGAGAAAAATGATTTTGATCCTTGCCATAAATAAGCTAGGACACAAATGTTCAATTTAACAACAACAAAAACATTTACAATTCCCTAAGCTTTAAATTGTTGAGGGTGAGGCAGGGATGAGGGCTAGAGCAGCCATGCTTTATAGTTGATGGTGTTTGGCAGAATTTCACAAAGTAACTACTAAAATGTTACATGCTTAGTACAATATATAGAATTTTTTTTAAAAGCTTTATTTTTCCTTTCAAAGATGGGCACTTTCCCATGTCTTTTAAAATTCTTCATTGTTTTACTATTATATAATCAGTTAGTAGCTAGTAATTTTATTTAAAAACATTCATCTTTCATAAACGTTCTATTTTTAGCTACAGGAGAAAATGTCAACTGTTCTCAAACTGAACCAGATTTCTTAAGAGTAGAATTTAATTCAAATAGGGGAGGTAATTTTAAACTCAAAATTACCAGATTTATGCACACTACTCCTAATGCTGCATTTCTACTAATAACGAATAGGATTTCGAAATCCTAAAAATTCAAGAACAAAGGCACAACAGTCATATTACTTTTATACACTGAATCATTGTTGCTGGTGCTGAAATTCTATGCATTTCAATGAAACATACCAATTTCTAACAGATGAATGAGACTGTGTACAGAGATGCCACAATTGTATAAACCATATTTTGTGTCTCATGACATCACTTTTGTTGCTAGTTCATGTTGGTTTTAAAACATGGCTGCAAATATTTTCACCTCCTCCCATCACAAAGTGAAGCCTCTGGGTGGACTGCTTCAAAAAGAGTAACCGTGTAAGGCATGGTGCGTGCTGTAAAGGCTAGATGATACGAGACCATGCAGCTTCTTGCCTTAGTCACAGCGACACTGAGTGACATGGAAGAACCTTATACCCTGAAGCCGCCATGCTGGAAAGACTATGTTTAGGCTCTCCAGCCCAAGTCCCAGCTGAGCCTACACCTCTGGTTTTCTCCATCAAGGTGCCAGACATACAAATACAGACAGACGCCATCTTGGGAGTAGCTTCTCCAGTTCCGACTGTTGCAGTCCCTGGGTTTCGGGCCTTCCGAGCTGTGGCCCAGATGTCCCCTAACAGAGACAAGCCATCCCTGCTGTGCCCTGTCTGAATCCTGGACTCGCAGGATCCATGAACAGAATCAAACGATTGTTTTATGTCACTATATTTGGGGTGGTTAGTTTCTCAGCAATGGATAACCAGAACATAGGTTAACAATTTAATTGAATAAACATTAGCTGAGTGTCAACTGTGGGCAAGAGAACACAAAAGTGAGTAAATACGTGGTTCAAGCCCTAAAGGAATTTATAACCCAACAGCAGATTCTAAGGTGCTATCAGCTTGCAGAGCACTTGACAACTGGAACGGTATCGGGCACGTAGTAGATAATAACATTTGCCGAATGAACAAATGAACTACATATTATTTAAGGCTGTCTGTTGGAGCATAAACATTTCTACCTGAATTTCAACATTTTTAATTGAGAGACTACAAAAAGGTCAGGCTGTTCATCATACATCTGTTCAAATGGGACGTAAAAATTCTGTTTTATAATTTGCCTTTTCATTTTTATGAATCAGTAGTTACTCTTAGCTGTCTGTATCAATCAAGTCACCCACCTTCTCAAATCATTCACATTTTTCAATGTATCTTTCACAATATAGGCCTAAGACACTTTTGAAATGATTAAATTAGTTCAAATGTTAATAAGCACATTTGGAAAATGGAACTTTCAACTAGACATAACTGCTTAGCCTTTATCAACATATAAGGAAAGGAAGGTTTGAAATTCCCAAGTTTTTACATCATCAACATAAATATCTTGATAGAAAACACTGATACTTCAACACATAAGCAGAACTCAGGGATATTGTGGGTTCAGGTCCAGCCCACTGCAATAAAGCGAGTCTCACAATAAAGCAAGTTGTAATCTTTTTGCTGATGGAGTCTTGTCTTCAATTTATAAAAACAAAAACAAAACCAAAAAACAAAACATCTGTGAAACACACTAAAGCAAAGCCAACAAAACAAGATGTGCCTTATTAAATTCTTGTTTGCATTTTAGTTAAGTGAATATTCCTAAAAATTTGTGAAATTCAGTTGCTATCAAAATAATTAGCAACTGAATTAAGACTTTGTTCAGTTCCTTTAACATCCCATAACTGATATTTATAAAAGAGTCACAAAAGAAACTTATCCCCTAAAAAGAATAGTTCTGAGAGAAATAAGAGAAGCCTAAAATATTCTTCAATCTCATGTAACTAGGCCTGACCAGACCAGCATATTCAAACTTTTGCTATCAATTTCTGGGAGGTCTCGGGCCGGCCAAGTGGTGCGTTGGTCAGGAGTTGACTTGGGACGCCAGCTCTGAGCAGCAGGGCCCCGGTTCAGATCCCACATGCGGGCCAGTGATGCTGCACCCTTTATAGCTGGGATGCTGAACAACAGCTCAACCTGGAGCTGGGTTGCCGTGAATCACCAGCGTTGGTGTGGGCTGCAGTGGGGCTGGCGGGCAGCCAGCATGAGCTTTTGTGAGCTGCCGTGAGCAGCCGTCCTGTGGCTGGCGAGTGACTGCCTCACCCGGGAAGGGCGCAATGATAATACCAACATGGGCCAGTGAAGCAACGTCCTCCACAACTAGACTGAAGAACAAAAGGACAGCAACTTGTCCGTTCCGCTCGATTTATTTAATCAAATAAAATAAGATTTTATTCCCCAATAAAATCTTTAAAAAAAAATTTTTTTTTAATTTCCAAGAGGTCTCTGCTGCCATGTTCAGATTCTACACCTGCTGGTGACAGAAGATTCACAAAAATCTAAGGCTACAGGCATTTTCAAAAGTCTATATTGCTATCCTATACTTTTTCTTAGCTCCTATTTTTAGATAATACAGCTTAGATTTAAGCAATATCTCTGTAAATCTTCATGTTTCTGATACTTTAATAGCATCTTGTTCTTTCTCACGTATCTTAATTATTTCTAATGAGTACACTCATTTTATAATACTAATACTTAGTGTTATAACATGTACACCCATGTGTATATGACACTATCACATGGCAGTGGAGAATATGATTCAATCTGTGGTAAAGTCAGCATGATATATTAGAATGCTAAATAAGGATATTGAAGTTTAACTCTACACCATTAACTAGCTCTAAATCTTTGTGATTCAGTTTCCTGGTTTGTAAAGTGAGAGGATTAATCTCCTCTAATTCTATGTGTATAATGACAAGCTGTTCTATACCTTGTCATTAATACATTTAAGTATAATAAAGTTAGTGTTATTTCTAAATCCAATATATTATACTATGCATTGCTTCATAGCAATCAAAATTACCACAGCTTTTTTAAGGAGAATTTTTATAAGAGCTTATTTGAGCCAACCTGACAACATATGCAAAATTACTGGAATTTCGCACTGCATAGCTGGCTTAACTTGGAAATTTAGACATTAATACATTTATTTCTGTTATTTTATGTGACTCTACCTACTTATGACATGAGATGTATTTTAACCCTTCCTAAGGGTATCAATAATTTTAAAGATCAAGAATTTGACCAAAGTCAAATTACATAACTCACTGAACAATCAGCAAACTAAATTACTTAAGCTTTTAAAAAGCTTTTATCAGAACAAAAATAACCACTAAATGTTTTAAAGTTCCCAACCCCTTGTTCTTATTTAGTCTAGTCCCTGAACACAGAATCTTTCTAAGATCTTAGCAAATAAAATCATATACACTCATTTTCCATGTTACAACAGAATTATTATTTTTATTGGCTGGAAAATAGCCTATTGAGTTGATATAATATTGTATTTTTAACTCTTGCCCTACTGTTAATTCAATTGACTCCAATTTACTGAACTATGTACAGTGTTGCAATGAACATCTTTTTTTTTTTTGGCTTTAGGACACTGTATTCATTTCTCATTGATTGAATATATCCCAACTCCTATGACATGTACAGCCTTCTCTCTTATTTCTACATTACATTTCTTTTTTTTAAATTATTTTTTATTGTGAAATACACATTTTTTAGAATTAGTTGCAGCTGTACAACACAGTGCAATAGTTACACTTTTTACCCCTCGAGGTGACAACCCTCCTCCCCCAATCCGCCGCCCCACTTCCCCCCAATATCATACATATCTATTACAATTGCAATGAACATCTTTATATACAATTTTTCCTTTTTGGATTATTTTCTTAGGATAATAAGCTAGATAAAAGGATATTTACATTTATAATTTTTAAAACACACTGCCAAACTGCCTTGCAAAAAGAGTCTATCGTTATCTCCTGCTACCCATGTTTCTGTATTCATGCTTTTTGATTAATAATGTTCAATACTATCCCATGCAGCTTTGTTATTTATTATATATCAAGTTTTTGTTTGAACACCTTTTCATAAACCCAGTTCCGTCTCTCTCTTTCAAAGTCTTTGCTTACCTGTTTTTAAGATGTGCCTCCAGGTCACAGCGTTGCATTACATCTTGGCACACGGAAGAAAATGGACATGACACTAATAATTTGTCCAGCAGTTTATGAACTAGAATACTAGACTTCTTACACAACTTAAAGTGAAGTCTTTTGCGGTCCAATGGGCAGAAATCTTTCTCCTGTAGGAAGTTTCTGAGGCACTTGCAGCAGAATGTGTGTCCACAGGGGGTATCGAGCGGCTGCAGCAGGGGCTGAAGGCAAATATGGCAGACCAGGTCGTCGTCCACCTCGTCCTGGTAATTGTACAAGTGGTTTTCTCTCGTCCAGTGCTGCTGGCCACATTCAAAACACAGAGGGTTGAAGGAGGAGGAGGAAGTGTGTTCCACAGACACCATCTCATCACCTGTTGTTCCCATTTTGAATCAACCAAAGCAGTTTCTGTATTTTCATACGTTAGACTTCCACTGCAGTTTGGTTTCCTTTAATAGACAGTTATGCATTTGATAAAAACCAAGGCTTTTCTAGATAAACAGAACCAAAAAATAAAAATAAAAAAAATAATTAGTGTCCTCAAGATAGGCTAAACGTATCATCATAACATGACTAGTTAACTTCCTTCTTATTAAAATTTAGATCACGTAATAAATTAGTCATAAAAACATAAAAATGAAATTAAATAACTTGCTAGTTGGCTAAGAATGATGTACACTGCCAAGTTCATGGTAAAAAAAGAAATTGTGATTAAAAGGAAAGATGCCATGTAGTATATGGCGTGACATAAGAAACAATCAGTTTGTTTTACTGACTGAAATCCGCACATAGTTCAATACTCAATGATTGTTTTAAAGCCAATTAATCTACACAGTATGCTAATAATGCAATTTGAGGTACAGTACCTAATACATTGGAGCATTGGAAATCCTAGTCATGGTTCTTTGCTTCTGGCTGAATTTACACAGATAGGGGTAAACCAAAGGCTGTGTCTTCGAAATGTAGTCTCAAGGGTAATTTGGTGTTTGTTAAAAAAATGACCTTTGGGCCAGTGACACTGCCCTCCACAGCTAAGATGCTAGACAACAGCTCAACCTGGAGCTGGGCTGCCATGAGTCGCTGGCGACAGCGTAGGCTGCAGCCCCTGCTGCAGTAGGTTGCCATGGGCTACCGTGTGTAGCCAGCAGCCAGCACGAGCGGCCAGCAGTCAGTGTGAGCAGCCGTCCAGAAGCNCGGGAAGAGCGCAATGATGGTGCCAACTTGGGCCAGTGAAGCAACGTCCTCCACAACTAGACTGAAGAACAAAACGACAGCAACTTGTCTGTTACCCTTCCCCCAATTCCCCAGCTCTGTTCCCATCCCCCCAATTTCATTAAAAAAAAAATGACCTTTGCTCTGTACTACATTTGGGGAGAAATGGATTTCCAAATATGTATGATTTGAATATTCTCTCTATATAGCAGATTACAGAAAGATAAATATGTATAACATATATAACATCTGTGCAAACTCCATAAAATACAATACTATTTTATGCCATTAAAAGAAAAAAACTGTTGTACTTCAATTAAACAGATAAGACATGCTATAGATCTCAATTCCACATCATATTATTTCACACTTTCATGTATTCTGGCTCGCTCAAAGCAGGTGTAGGTGTGTGTGTGTGTGTGTGTGTGTGTGTGTGTGTGTGTGTGTGTGTGTATGTGTGTGTGTCCCCTCTACAACGTAAGACTCTTACCATGGTCCACCCCAGTTTAGTGCAGACCTACCAAGGAATGCTCCCCTCAGATAAGGGTTTCCAGATTCCTGCAGCTGCAGCCCCAGGGGTTAAAAAGTCAACTCTGAAGGCAGCAGCTGTCTATATTCATTTTCCCGTAAATATTTACAGTGTCTAGTCTGTGCCAACATTGAACAAGGATAGAGGAGAGGGAGGAGAGGACAGTTAAGAAAGCCCATTATTAAAATACAATGTAATGAGTACTCTGAGAAAGTTATGCTAGGATGCTATATGAACACAGAGAAAGATGAGGAGAACTGGCATCTAGCTCAGTTTGGCTTTGTGGCCGGAAATATTTTCAAAAAGGGAAAAATATGGACTGCTGAGCTGTGGCAGGAAGCACTGGCCAGAGAGAAAAATAGAGATGGGCATCTGGATGCTAAGTCCCAGGGGCCTGAGCGTGCACGCATAGTCAGGGATCACGGAGCAGGGCAAGACATGGAGGAGAAGAAACTGTACTCGGGACAGGGGGATGGTAAGACTCAGGTGTGCCTGCCGCCAGGACAGAAAGAATTGTCATGTCATGTTAACACTACTGGCATTTGTTTCAGTAATAAAATTCTCCTCCAATCACATGTATGTATTTGCCATGTTATTTATTTGGCGTATTTATTAGAAAAACGACATTAACATTGCAACAGATTTAACAAGAATGGCCATAATTATGAGGGGGTGGGGCAGGATTCAGATGGAATGGCTGATGTCAGATAAGCTGTGTGTTTTTAAAAACTACTTAATAAAATGACAATACGAGCAGCCTGTCAGTACCAACAGTAAGAGCAAACACTGCTCGTATTTTATAACTCCTGGGGCTTGTTCTTTTCCCTCTGAGCTTCGTAACCTTTTGGAGGACAGTGCAAGGTATGTGAGATTAAGGAGAAACACCATCTATTGCAGGCAGATGCTGCTTCAGCCCATGCATTTTAACACAAAGGCTTGTTTTCCGCTCAGCTAGCAAAACACACAATCCTTGGCTATTCTTTGTGACAGTGGTTATACTAATTTTCCCATTCCTCAAGAAAATAAACTGCAATTCTAGCCTCCCACATAATGACTAAGAAAGCATTTGTCTTAAGATTATTATGTTTTAGCTGTTTTCTAAATCTCTAAATAACTCTTAGTGTTTTATTTTCATTTTTGTCAGAAAATCTTTTCAAGAGGAAAAACAACATGTTCCCATTTAAAAGACCAAATAACAACTGCATTATCTCCAGCCCTGAAATACCTCTATGTTACCACGAAACATGAGATGAAAACTTACCATGGGCAGATCGCTAACATGTGCATATAAACGCTGATTAAAGAAGTGCAAGGCCATACCCGGAGCCATCTGTAAGGGTTCCTGTCCTTGCTGTCACTCACTGGCTTTGTGACCTTACTGAATGAGTTTCCTTCTCATACATGAAATGGGAGTAAACACAGTGCCTATCTCAAAGGGTTGATAAAAAGAATGAATATGTGTGTGTGTGTGTGTGTGTACATATAGCTTAAAACAGTGCCTGACACATAATCAACCGGTGCTATATATAAGTGTTAGCTATTATTACTATTATCAAAGATAAAGAAACAAAAGTTTGGACAGATTTTGATGTGCCCAAAGCCATACAACTTATAATTATTTAGTAAGAGAAAAGAAAGATAAATCAGTTCTTTCTTGCTTCAAAATAAGCCAATAGTGAATTAAGTAATTATAGGGCAGAGGTAAGGGATTTCATTAAAACCTTGGGTGCGAGTTTCATATGGGCAGAGGTAGCCTGACCCTGTGTTTCAAATCCCCAATCCCACGCCTCTATTCTTGACCCAGGCAGGTGATTTTATTCCCGCTTTGTGCACAGTCCTCTGTAACACCTTGCACCACTTCTCACACTCTTGTTCCTCACAGAACTACGAGCTCTTTGAGAGCTGGATGTCCCATGGGGGAGAAGCTCAATAAATGCTGAATGACCAAATGGGTGACCGTATGTTTGATCACTCTGGTAAGTTTAGGCAACTAAAAATATATCTGTGTAAAAGGGAGGATATGCCCATGTTTATAGCATTTTGATTTCAGATATTCTGAGCACAGTTTGAAATATTAAAATACAAGTTAAATATATAATAGTCCTCAATATTTTCCAAAATATAAAATGTAGCATAGGGTGTATCTTTACAAACTACATTATCTGTGTAGCTAACATTCCAGGAATAGTAAAGAGGTGGAAACTATTTAATTGGCTGGGAATATTACAACACATTTTAAATAAGATCTTGAAAAAGAGCCAGTGCAATGGAAAGGGAGTCACAAGACATGGTTTTACTACCTAACTCCAGTTACGATTAACATGCTTGCTATCCTGGTTTATGGTACATCAGAGACTCTCAGCAAGAATTACGGTTGTCACTATTTGCTCACTGCAAAACTATATATTATTCAGGTAATTTCTCTTGCTGTTATTTTTTATTCAGATTGAAAGAGTCCTCACTGGCCCTGACCTAGGAGATTCAGCGCAGGGAAAAAAGATGGTGAGCTAAGTATTACCACCAAGTATGAGTAGGTGGGAAACATCCTTTGAGTCTCAACGCCAAGAGTCTAGGAATACCCTCTCCTCACGTCCTCTGAGCAAATTCCTATTCACTCCTTGAGTCTCAGCTCAAACTCTCCCTCCCTCCACTGTCCAATCCTACCTGCCACTCCCTACTTTTAGGCATACCTCCCTTCCCTCAGGCTCCTGCTACTCTCTGCACACACCTGCATTGCAGCAATTACATGCACATGCTTCCTTGCCATCTTCTCACCTCTTGGAGGGTAAAGACAACAGTGTCTTCTTTAGCTCTTGTAGTCCCAGTTCTTGGCACATATTATGCACTAAAAAAAAAATGTGTTCTCAGGATCATACTTGAGCCTGAAATGTAGAGAATTCTGAACTGTATAATATAACTACATAAATATATAAGAGAAACCCAAGCACATTTATTTGTGGCACTGCCACACAATCAACATATTGGACCCTGCCCTATGATTACAAAGAATAACATATCACTCCCTTTAATCTTCGAAAGTCTGAAAACAAAGTTTCTTTTTTTTTTACTTGATGGTATCAACAAAAGAACATTTTTATTATATGTTACAAATCAGCTTTGATAGCTTCCTTTGCATAAAGCAGTGGTGGTTAAACTTTTACAACTAAGGATCCCTTTATCCACTCTGGACAAGCTCGGCAGTTTCTTAAACAGTAACTTGCAACTACCATGCAATACCCGCAACCAAACTCCTGAGCATGTACTCCAGAGAAATGAAACTGATGTTCACACAAAAACCTGTGCAGCTTTCTTTGTAATTGCCCCAAACTAGAAACAACCCAGATGCCCTTCAACAGGTAAATTGTTAAAAAGAACTATGGTACATCCATACCATGGATTACTACTCAGCAATAAAAAGGAATGAATGATGGATACATATAACAACCTGCACGAATCTCCAGAGAATTATGCTGAGTGAAAAAAACGCCAATTCTAAAAGGGTGCACACTATAATATTCTGTATATATAACATTCTTGAAATGACAATACAACTAATTATATTAATGAAAATGCTTTAAATATTCATTTGTTAATAACACTCTAAACGCATATTCACATTTTTATGAAAAATAACTTAAATAAAAAATACAGTGAGAAAAGAAGCATTGTTTTACATTTTAGCAAATCTGGAGTCTCAAGTCTGCTTCTATTTTCAATCTGTTGTGTGAGTACATGTCAAGTATCCTCTAAAAACTCTCCTTGGACACTCATGAGAGAATGAGAGTGAAAAACACAGATAACATCTTAGGAAAATCGTTTTGACCTTGTGGACCCAATGAAAGAGAATAGGGGATCCTGGGTCACACTTGAGAGCAGCTGGGGCAGAGCGCTAAAATGTCCTAATACCCTTCTCTCATAAGGAGTACCAGGAACAACCAAAACTACTTTTAAAAAAGACGAAACGGAAACAGGCAAACTGTTGAGCTGAGTCCATACTGGTGGAGCCTGTGTTTCCTGGAATAACGATCTTTCTCCAGCGCTCTTTCCTGCTGGGAGAAGCGTGTCTGGATGTTTCACTGTATTATAGGAGAGCCTTACAGAAATTCAGTTCTTGATCAAAACCACTTCCTATTGCATGTCTCTAGGAAAACTCTCGAATATCAGTTTCCAACAATTCCACCTTTATATTTTATAAGTCTCATTTTCTACATAAAATTATAATTCGGCACACTTAGTTATTTGTCTCCTATCCCATTTTAGCAAACAGAAATATTTGAAAACCCATTTTTAAATTCTCAGATGGTATTTGTAGTTAGATGTACTCTATTTAATAACCTAGGAAATTAGTTAATTAAGCAAAAAACGCCAGAAGCTATGCAACTGAGGCTCTGAGCTCTCTGCCAGCCGGGTAACTAGGTCAGTACACAACACATTTCTTTCTTTCACCACATGTTTATCTAATGTCTACTACGGGCGAGTATATTATATATGTCCGGTGCCTTCACTTCCTGTCTATGAACTATCAGCTTTGCTCATAGAAATTGAACGAGAGAACACACACACACACACACACACACACACACACACACACAGCTTAAATCTAGCTCTAAAATTCTCATAATTCTACACATTTTTATATACAAAAAAATATTTAACTGATATGTCCGATTTGCCTGTTAGTCCCAATATCTGTCAGCTGCTGTTTTTGATAACTTTAATAATCTCTTACATATTCTATAAAAAGGAGATGAAGTTGTAGGTACTAGAGAATTTACAAATTTCCAATGTCCTTCTACCTTTAGTTCTAATTTTGAACCACTAAGCTGAAAAGCTTTTTTTTTTAATGCAAAATGATAAAGACAAAAACTAAACTGGATTACCTGCCCAATTCCTGTAGGCTCAGATAGATATACTCAAGTTACAGCTTTGAAAATTATACTAAATTATGTTACTTAAGAATAATTTAAAAACAGAATTGATATAAAACTATTTCCAAAAGGAAATACACCATATGGAATGCTAAACATTTCTATATAGCTAAATATGCAGACACACCTCGGCCAATGAGAACAGACCTTTGTGGAAAGAACTTTATTCCAGGAAAGACCCTCCTGCAGAGCACAAGGGGTTTTCTCGGCAGCACTCCTCAACAGCCTTGAGTTGGGGCGATTTCTGATGTCTTAGAGAATGTCACACATTCATACGTGTTGCATAATCCATAAAGATACAGTGTGGGTGGTGAGGGGAACTACACTTTCCATTGGTTTGGTTTTATGCATGTGATGTTTATCTGCTGGATATATTTTAAAACGTCTTTATATTACATTCAAAGGCAAGGGCTCTGATTTTCATAAATTTATCCATTTTATTCTAAAGGATGAAATCTTTCAAATGTTTAACTTCTTGCACAGTAAATTTAGAAAACATCTATTTACCAGCGATCAATCAATTCTTATTTTCAAGGTCCAACACGTCACCTCCCTAGCCCTCCACTTTCTTAACCTATATACTAGTGGGCCAAACGAGATCAACTCAGAAGTTCCTTACAGATCCCAAATTCCATGATTGTAGACACGTGTTTTGACCACACCTTTCCCCCACCAAAACAAAACAAAACAAATCAAACGTTTTTTTCTTTACTACTATCCAGCACTGATTACTATAAAAATGATCTAAATTCAAAGTGTATCAGGAGGGTTTTGTGTGAGCGTTTATTTTTTGTTTTTGTTTGATCTTCACAGTACTGGACACTCTAAATATTCCGACCTGTAATTTTTCTATTTTTGCAGACAAGTGTATATGCAACAGAGCAGTGCTAGATATATAACTGGACATCTCTGTATTTTCATTATGGTAATAAGACATAAGATACTACAATGTTGTCAGACAAAAACAACTTTCTTTACTGGTTCCCAGATAAGATGCCATTTACGGGATACCACCGCATAGATCTGAAGGACTAATATGGTTAGTTTGTTTGCTTTTTTCTATTTTTAAGGCAAGCACAGGTAATTGTTAGTAGTATAAATGGATGGTTTTAGATGGTAGATTTTGCTCCACAGTCAATCTTATATTTTTCCATTAAAAAAAAATCTAAAACTACAGAAAAACAACAAACTTTTCAGTCTTATTTCCCTCAATAAATGCAAAGATATCAGCAGGACATTGCTATTCTGTGATCAAATCTACACAATAAAATAAATGAAGAACGAAACCACGGTCAGATAGGTTTTATGCTGGAGGTAATACTAATAATTAAGATTCCCAGGCTTTGTTATCTTAACTATGGGCAAGATATAAGAAATTTAAATGCTGCAGCTTTCCAAGCTAACGCGTGACACCAATAATTAAAAGAACAGGCATTACTTAAGATGCTCAATTTGCTTCAGTTATAACTCGTATGTGTGTGTGTGTGTGTGTGTGTACATACATACAAAGGGTGCCAAAAAATGTATACACATTTTAAGAAAGGAAATAACTGTATTAAAATTACATTGATGGTAACCACATTGAGCACCTCTTGTAATTGCAAAAGTCAAATGTGACTTGTATTCTTCTTTTGTTATCAGTATATAGAGTATTACAATTTTAATACAGTTTTTTCCTTTCTTAAAATGTGCATGCATTTTTTGCACCCTCTGTGCATATGTAAATTATCAGATCAAGAAGGACTTTGGCCCAAACCTCAAAAGTCCATCACTGAGTGGCCAATCTGTTTTCTCCACAGTAGTCTAAACCAGCGGTTCTCAACCTGTGGGTCGTGACCCCTTTGGGGGTCAAATGACCCTTTCACAGGGGTCGCCTAAGACCATCGGAAAACAAAAAGATATTTACATTACGATTCATAACAGTAGCAAAATTACAGTTATAGAGTAGCAACGAAAATAATTTTATGTTTGGGGTCCCCACAACATGAGGAACTGTATTAAGGGGTCGCGGCATTACGAAGGTTGAGAACCGCTGGTCTAAACGGATAGTGGTGTCAAGGGAAGGGATTGAAGCCTTGTCAGCTGTGGTGTTTACCCAGAATGATTTTCATGGGCTGCCAGAGGTCCTTCTAATTTATTAAAAATGAGTTGTTTGAGTTACATATAGTTCTAATACTGAGAAAAATTAAAAGGAAATCCTCATTATACTGTAACTCATTACCCAGATTCCAATATAGCACAAATAATATAGCCCTTCAAAATATAAATGCCTAGTGTTACATGATTGGATTTATTTGTACTGTAAAGCCAGTAATATTAAATCATTAGGATGGTCAACAATGCACTCCAAAGTATATTAGTTTCAGAAACTAATTCAAACAAAATCCTAGGGTTTACATGTTATATAGTTGCTACCTGCCTTTTTTGACATCTCCACTAGGGAACTTTTACAAACAAAATATATTTAAAAGCAAACTAATCGTTCTTCTTTCTAACCTTCGAACCTGACCTTCTATTCATCCTCTATCCTCTCTCCTTCCCACCCATCCACCTGTTTGCCTGCCTGCCATCCGTCTCTCCATCCATCCATCCCCTCCCTCCACTCCATCTTCCCATCTATCCATCCAGGCACTACTGGGAATCTCCTGTGTGCCAGGCACTGTTCTAGGGCTACGAGTTCAGCAGTGAACAGAGACAACAACCCCTGCCCTCGTGAACCTGACATTCTGGGTGGGGATGGAAGTGAGGACAGACAATACACAAGAAAACAAATTTCAGATGCGAAAAGTACTAGACAGAAAAAGAGAGCAGGTAGGGAAGACAGAGTGCTTGGGAGAAGGATGGCTTTTTAAATAGGGTGAGCTGGGAAAAACTCACTGTGAAAGTGGCACTTGCATTAAAACCAAAAGAAAGTAACTAGAAAGCCACTCAGGTCTCTGGTGTAAAAACGTTTG